ACAATTTCATAGTACATAGAACTTATCATGTCCAATGATGAATCAAGAGGTTGGCGAACTAAGAAGCAGTACTGAAATTTTGTATGACCTATGTATCTACAGAGGGAGAATTTTGAGACCTTAGGGGCATGGAGGGATGGGAAGTCGCTAAGGGCCACAGCTGTTAAAAGTTGTTATAAAATAGATGAATCTGTACTACTTTGGTACTTTGGATAGGAAAAAGAAAAGAAATCATCTATTCATTGTAAAAATGCAGTTGATTTTATTTTTTATTTATTTTGGAGGAACTGGGGATTGAACTCAGATCCTTGTGTTTGCCAGTCAAGCACTTATCCTACTGAGCCATCTCCCCAGCCCCCATGCAGTTGATTTTAAAAAAGAATAAAAGAGGAGTGATTTGTGAAGTATGATCAATACCTGGATCTTTGGTATGAATCAGTACCTATAAATTATACATTTTAATTTTAAGCTTTGAAGTAACTCAAAGGAAGAAAGAAAATAAGCTTGAAATGGTAGTAGATTTCATCAATTTTTGTTTCTTTGTTAAAGTTAATGATTTAAGCTTTTATATAGCAAAATATATTGATTTGAATGTACAGATATTCTTAGACATTTCTAAATAATTTTTGGTCATCAATGGTTTAAATCAGAGTAGTTCTTAGTGTATTTATCACCCATCACAGTAAGAATGTAATATAATCATGATTTGTGAATTTTCTAAGAAATTTTGTAGCAGCTATTAGGTGTTTTTTTAAATTAATTTTTAATCTCAGCATAAAAACTTTATATCACAACAGTGTAAGCAAGCCCTTTTGTAATACAGAGGAAGTGTGAACAAATCATGCTCTAGGAGTAATTAAATTCATGATCTTTCAACTTGAAAATATGACTCACCAATATTTAGGAGAGAATATTTCACTTCTCTGGGAAAAGTATAAAAAAAGTTGGAAAAAGCATTTTGCATTGATTTTTTGCTTCTCCTTAAAAGAGTCATCCCATTGTAGCTTTTAATTTTCCCCAGACAACAAATACTATCAGTAAGATTTTTACTTCCAGGTTATTATTCTGACTGAGTTTTGCCCAAAACCATGAAAATTTTTGTTATAATTTTTAATTTCTTTTTTAAAGTTAGATATATCACATTAGAATTATTAGCACACATTGAACACAATAATGGGTTTCTTTGTGGCATTTTGTAAATGCATGACCTTGAAATCTTGGTATGATGATAGCCTCTTTGTCTCCTTTTGCTAAATCCTTCATCTTCAAAAGAATTCCAGTAAGCCACCAAATCATGACCTTCCCTCTTTTCCTGAAAGTTGAGCTGAGGATGGGAAAGCAAGCCGAGCTTGCCTGTTTTCCCTTTGGATGCTCTAAATAAAGGATAAGAAACTGCTGGGTAAGCCAACAAGTTATTATGCAAGAAGCAGAGATAGTTCTGCAGCTGCCGCCCCAGCGAGCTCTGCACTCTTTTCTGAGTTGAAGCTATTAAAACTTCAGGCTTGATTTTTTCCAGAACACCACTCAGCTTCTCCACTATTTTAATGTTCCCATGGCAGCTTCTTCTTTGTCTTTGTGTCTTCTAGTCTTAAAATCTGAAATTGGTCTTTTTCAAGGTGTTAAAAGTACTTTTCGCTTTTTATGGAAAGATTTAAAGATGGACTATTGTACTTTGGTTATGTTCTCACCTGATTTCTAAACTTCAGAGATTTTCAATTGTTAGTTATCAGGTTCTTGAAGATAAAAGATGTCTTGGAGTCCTTCCCCTAATTCTGTGGCTTTTTTTTTTTTTTTTTTTTTTCCTTTCAGGTCTGCGTCACATAACTATCCTAAAGCTTCTGGGCATTGGAGAGGAAATTGGAGGAGTTTTAGAACTGTTTCCAATTAATGGTAATAAGTTATTTTAAAACAGCATGAATTAATGTTAACTTCAGTTAAAATTATAGTAAGTGATAAACCTCAAAGATGGACAAGGACCTGACGTCCTCTCTCACCGTGTGTGTGTGTGTTTGCCAGCCACTATGCATGCCAGCTGTGTCTAGGGTAGAGTGAAAGGATCAATGGTGTTCAATATGGAATCATTCAATGTAACAGGAAAAATATATGCTTTGTCAACTAAGGTAAGGGCTTTTTATCTGTAGAAGGCTTTCTGGCTTGCAACGCATTTTCTCCTATGTTACCTCATTTAGTTCTCACATTAATTTTATCAGACATATTGCGCATATCTCAATGATTCCCTTTCAGTAGATGAGGAAATACAGTTTAAAAAAATTCAGCAAAGCTGAAATAACTGACTGAAGGTTTCAGAAATCAAATTGCATTCTTCTCTCTAAGCCTGAGGACTTTAGATGAGATGATGTATATAAAATACTTGGTACAGTGCTAGGCAGAGCCAACTTCCCAGAAAATACCAGCTCTTTTTCTCTTCTTTTTTCTTTTCCTTTTTCACAATAGTTTAGATACATTTATTTAGATTTTATTGTTTAAAAATTATTTATTGGATACAGGGTCTCACTATGAAGTTGAGACTCACAGTGATCCTCCTGTCTCTGCCTCCCCAGCTCTGGGATTACAGGCATGCATCACCACTCCAATTTTGGGACCAGCATGGCATGTGGTACTGGGCATTGAACTCAGGTCCTTGCACTTTGCCAGGCAGGCACTTAGACTGCTGAGCTATCTCCTATTATAACATAATTGGTATTTGTCCTCTTTGACAATGAAATCTTTCTGTTTAGAAGACAAGTGTCAAAAGGAAGATGAATTGCAAAGAAGTAACTAAGATAATTGGAAATAAGCTTAGGAATATGAACAGTTATCCTTGTTACTGAAAATGTTAAAAAAAGTGGGTCTTCCTGGGACTAAACTAAGGGACTGGCTTTATATTTTGTAACATTTCTACAGGAAATACCATGTGACTCTGAGTTTGGTATGTGACAGGAAAGCAGGGATATTTAATTTCTAGTGGAAAACAAAAGCAAACAACAAAAACCCCAATGAACTTCTTTCATTGGATTTTGAACAGTTTCTTGGGGCAGTGGTTTCTTCTCACTTTGGTGTTTCTATGAACTCTGACTCTTTACTCCACTAACAATTATTTCAATCCTATTCCAGGGAGCTCTGTTGTTGAGAGAGAAGATATACCTGCCCATTTGGTGAAAGATATACGGAACTATTTTCAAGTGAGCCCAGAATACTTCTCCATGCTCCTAGTTGGAAAAGATGGAAATGTCAAATCCTGGTATCCTTCACCAATGTGGTCCATGGCGATTGTGTATGACCTGATTGATTCAATGCAGCTTCGGAGACAAGAAATGGCCATTCAGCAGTCACTGGGAATGCGCTGCCCGGAAGATGAGTACGCAGGCTATGGTTACCATAACTACCACCAAGGATACCAGGATGGTTACCAGGATGACTACCGTCACCATGAGAGTTACCACCATGGGTACCCTTACTGAACAGAAATACGTAACTTAGCCCCAGCCAGTTTTCTCTGCAGCTGCTAAAGCCACACGCGGACAGCTACACAGGAGAATTCTTCTGTACTGTTTCCACTTTCTGTCTTTTTCTTTCAGAGATCTTTTAAGATTAAATAAATAGCAAGGTTTTGCCTATTCATGAATTGTTATTGAAATTTTAAATCATAAAGACATTTGTTTGTTTCTCTAACTGGAAACAATCTGGTGCTAATGCATGGTACTTAAAATGAATGTTATTTCCCTTTTTTATATAAGGGACATTTTGCATGTAAAATTCTATAAGTATTTATAGTTTTTTCTTATTTTTGTATTAATTGGTAAGTGAAAACTATGATTGCTAAAGAAAATTAAAGATCACAGCTGGTGTTCAGGAAACATCTTGACAGATTATAGATAGGACTGTTAGCACTTTTTGAAATGTTAGCCTAAAAATATTTTATATCTGCTTTGTAGGAGTTTCCTTCACGAAGCTTGATACCAAATGCCAGAAAAATTACCAAGCCTAATTTTGTTGCAATAGCCCCTTCCTGTCCTGCTTATGTTATCTTTAGTGTCTTTTCAGAGACAGGTGAAGGGGCTGGGAAATCTTCACCAGACTCTGGCATTGTAGCCAGACATGACCTTCCCAAGTTCTGGCAGGTCTATGCAAATCTAGGCCTGGCTCTCAAAGACCCCACCACTTGACCATTGTACTGAACTCACTAAGGAGCCCATTACAGTACTGATAGCTTATTTTTAAATGTACAAGGAAGGATACTATATTAAGGGGTTCTTTTATTTTCAAAGGCAAAAATACCAATCCAGTTGATTAAAACACAGCTGGATTGCAGAGTGGTGTAATTCTTGTCTTTGATAAAGAGCTTTTGTGTTTCATATGCAGCTTACCAAAGTAAATTCTCTTCTTCTCTTCAACTCTTTCTCCCTCCTTGTATCTTTTCTACTTTTTTCATTCAATAACTATTTACCAAGTAATGTTATTCAGTAATATTTATGAGCTTGCCATCAGACAATGATTTAGCATCTTGGTGAAAATATCCTCTGTCTATAATGGAGATACTTATTTTTACTGCTACTAATAATTTTCCCAATCATCTATGGCATTGGTTATTCCAATAGTCACATATATTAATAGATGCAATCCAGCCATATGTGAATATTTGCTTTCAGTTTATCTGTGCCTATTGCATGGACAAGACATTCTTATATCTTCTGAACTTTGTTATAAATGATAATAAAACTGGAATTGTAACTCAATGAAACTGAGAAATCACTTGTCCTACCTCACATTCTCTATAAAGATCATTTATTCTTTCTTTGTTTTATAGGCAGTTGAGGCATAGAAAGTTCAAGTGACTCTACAACACAGTTCTTTAATATGTAAATTATGTGCTCACCTCACCATACTCCCGTGGTGGAGAGCCCTCCTGTAATTTCCTGGATTGTCTGTACTAGCTTCTTGAGATGAACAGGTGAAAAGCCAGGGGGATGTGTATCTTTCCTAATAGTTTGCCAAGGTGAAGCACAACAAAAAATGTCAATAAAAATGGATTTCCTTACCATTCCTTCTGAAATTGTGCACCTACTTTTTAAGGGGTCCAAAAACTTTCCTTTCTCAGTTTTGGAAAGACAAAGGAAAGGAAGGCAAAGGGGGAGGCGAGAGAGAGCTTTCGAAAGGGGCCCAGACAGACACATCCTTCTAGGCCACAGCCTGGTGCCTCACTTCTTCCAACCAGGCCTTACCTCACAATGCCATCAAATCATGAATCCATCAGTAGATCACCTCAGATGAGGCTAGGGCCTCACTATATGATCACTTTCGCAAAGGCACTGACTGCTACAGTGAGGACCAAGCCTTATACAGAGGAGTCTTTCAGGGACCTTCAGATCCAAACCCTAACAGAACCATTGATCATCCCTCCACAGCCAGAATGGAGCTTCTACAGGCACTGAGAGTGCAAGGACTGTGAAGAGTCTGAACACCAGAGCCACTCTAGTAAAGCATATACTTGTTTTTCAGTAGTGTTTCCTAATGTGATCGCATATGTAGCATATTCCTGATATCCTAAAACTTACAGACAGGGCAGCCTGCGAGTCAACTGCAGAGGCCTTAATGAGTGCTTTGCTTCTGTAAAACAAAAGAATGATACTCTAGTCCCCAATCCATGAACCACTTGAGCTGGGTGAAAAATTTGGCTGATTTTAATTAGCTAATACTGATTCTGGGTAAAATGTTGTTTGGTTTCTTTTACGCTTTCCTAAGCATCTTGTCCTCTCTTCTGGCCCCTGCCTTTCACCTGTCTCTTTCCCATGATCCATTCTCTCAGATGGATACCACAGATTAGATCCACAAGGTATGATTGAAATACATATATCTAATATTTATATAAAATATTAAGATGTTTTATATGTAATTTTATATATTCTAAAATATAGTTTATATGTAATCTTACACATAAATCTAAATATTGTTAAATATATACATAACTGATATAGAATGTTACATAAGTATAAAATAATAAGAATTCAAATAGTGTGTTGCTTTCAAGGCACTTCATTTTAATCTGACTTTTCACAAAAGCACAGGGCTTAATCCAAAACAAGAAACAGAGTAAAACTCAAGAGCCATCTCTCCTTACACACAGTAGATGGCATTATCCCTATCTTTCTTTTTTTTTTTTTTTTGGTGGAACCAGGGATTGAACTCAGGTCCTTGCGCTTGCCAGGGAAGTGCTTATTCCACTGAGCCATCTCCCCGGCCCCTATCCCTATCTTTCTGGACCTGCCCTTCAAGCATGATTTTTCAGTCAACATAAAGGAGAAGCACACTGGCACTTGGATCCCTCACTGTACATTTCTGTGGCTTTGTTTCCCTTCCATCTCCTTGAAGCAGCTTCTAGCCCTTTAACATAAGTTCGAAGATGACTTCAGTGTCCGGGTTGGGAGGGATTAGTAAGGGAGTTTCTGCCTACATTATTTTGTGATAAATTAAAAGACATGATTGGAAGTGTAAAATCTATGATGACTACATAGGAACCTTAAGAACCTATACAAAAAGGATTCAAGTATTCAGGTTTAAAATGTAGCTTACCTACAGAGGCAAAAATATTATATCTCTATCTATGGAAACATTTATAATATAGGGCATATATATATATATATATATTTCATGTATCTATATATTTCTTCTCTCCCTTTCTCATATATACATGTATCATTCATGTATCTATACATTTCTCCTGCCCTATCTCTCTCTCCCTTTCTTCCTTAGCAGCCAAGTAATCTTTCAGAAAAATAAACCCTATTTTAAGACACTTTCTTATTGAGATGAATTAGCATTAAAAGCTATGAGTGAGTGAAATGCCATGTGTATTAGATATGGTTCACTAGAGGAACAGATCTAATACAAATGCATAGGCTGTCATCTAAAGGGCTCATCAGGCAGGCTTACACAAGTGAAAGCCACAGGTGCTGGGGGCCTTTTGTCAGACCTGTGGTGGAGCCTGCAGAACGCTCTTTGCACTGGAGGGCAAGAGGCCCTTGGAACGGAGGCCAAGGGAGCTCAGTGCAGTGTCCAGTGCAAGCCTCATGAGAAAGCTGAAGTGTTTGTACTGGAGGGTAAAGAAGCTGGAGAGGAGGGGACAAAGGCAGTGGGAAAGGCCAGAGCTCTTCTGGAGAAAAAAGTGATGACTTCTTTCTTTCTTTCCCTTTTTATTCCACTCAGGCTAGAAATCTAGTGATTGGTGTCATCCTGCGGTTGGCTCTCCCGTCCTCATTTTGTAGCCTACATGGGATCATTTGGACACATTTATAGCTTTATTCATCTGCAGGGCCACTCTTACTCAAGTCAAATTGACATGTGACAACTAATAATGTGTCACAGGGGCTGGGGCTATAGCTCGTGGCATAAGCACCTGCCTGGCAAGCACAAGGTCCTGAGTTCAATCTTGAGTACCACAAAATAAAAAAGCTAAAGAATATGTCATAAAAAATTAACTGACTGTAATAATTAGGATTATAAAAGGCAAATGAATTTGTCTTCAAATAAAGGTACACAATAAAAGTTTTTAAACATTCAAGTTTCACTGAATTTATGAAAACAACCGAGGCACTACTGTTTTATGGTCTAACTATACTGCCAATTAAACATGCCTTTTTTATCATTTAATTTTATTTCATTTTTGTTTAGCATCTACATTTACTGCTCTTTAAAAAGAAAACTTAAATAAATTAAGCAATCCCTAAAACTTCTCATTTCAAGCCATACATTTTGAGTCATTTTTGATGAATAAAGTCACTCTCTCAGATCTTCCCAAACAGACCTTCTGTGCCTTTGACAGAAATGATGGATCATGTCTTGGGGGAGATTTTCTACTCCTTCCAGGATTTTCTTCCAAACCTCTGACACCCATTCAGTAAAACCTAAAGCTACCATGTTCTCGATAGTACCAAGTAGCATCAGTGGAAAATTTTCAGACAGCAGCCAGCTCATTCTTTCCTTAAATGGTCCTTAAGCGGTCTGCTGATCAAAAAGTCAAGAAGATCCCTATGTCCGTAAGCATGACTGTGTAATCATGTGTATGGGTAAAGAGAACTTTACCATGGCTACCACTAAGCTGCAGCTATTTTACTGCACTATCATTCAAAACTCCAAATTTCAGAGACAATGAGGTGAAAACATTAACTTTCAAATAGATGAAATATACTGTAACAGATGTAGGTAAAATTTCCAGAGCTTATAAGAAAAAAAATGGTACTTAGGAAGAAACATATGTCTATTCTCATCCTCAGTGAAAAGGAATCAATGATTAGTTTTTAATTTCTCAAACTGATAAATTTATAAAGTTCTAAATTTTCTTTCTAAATTTAAAAAGTCACTAGTAATAAGAGAATAGAAATGCAACAAATTTCAAATATTTTAAGGAACTTTCAAACTGGTTCAATACATTAAGCCAAGGGCCGGCCAAATATCTCAATAGATTAAAGCGCCTGCCAACAGACGCTGAGGCCTGGGGTTCAATCCCTGGGCCTGCTGTGCCAGCCCCCCCCCCCCCCCCACTGAGACAGCAATTGCGACTGGGTGTGGTGGCGTACACCTGTAATCCCAGCTCTTGGGAGGCTGTAAACAGGCAGATCAT